AAATAGCTGCATGCAAAACCATTGAAAATTTTCACAAATTAAAAAAGATCACACCAGTAGATTGCATTCATTTAAAGTTGAAGCAAGAAGTCAGGATTGAAGTCAGAAATACAGTTAATTCGAGGAGGAAAATGTGTTTGTAAGTGGGACAGGGTAGAAGGGAACTTTCTAGAGAGCTAGTAAATATTCAATTTCTTTTCCTAAAGGTAGTGGGGTGGTAGTATAAAAATAGTTGAACACATCTATTCACATAACAGGAAATATTTATCACTCTCTTCCAGGCACTGGGCTAGATCTGGGTCATCCTTAGGAATAAAACCAGCCAGGATCCTTGCTCTGGTGGTGCTGAGTCTGATACTAGAGCCAGACTAAAGCAATTACAGAGAGGAGTGCAGATAAATCTACTCAGTCACCCCGTGGGGTGTATGCTCTGAGAGATGCCCTTGGCGTGTTCCACACAGGGCCTCTCACTTTATTGGGTGCAGGGTGAGAATTGATGTGATCAGATCCTCAGTGGACTGCATTATAAACATCTTCTATCTCTAAGAAGTTGCTACTCCTCTCAACGAGAGCAAATGTTTCCAAAGTCATTTTAGACATACTCTTGGAAATCTCATCTTCTTATCCAAGGAAAATCTTACTTGGAAAGTCACATCAATAGTTCCTTAAAGAAAAAATCAAGAGAATTATTATTAACTATAAATTTTAAGTTTAGGGATATCATGCTAAAGTCAAAGAGTCTTTTCAGATTCACAGTTCAAAATGCAGTGTTTTAAGATAAAACTTGCCAGGTTATAATATGCTTATAGGTTCACTGTAGAAGGCCAGGACCTCAGAAAATTACCAATTCCATATTTCTATCCCCGCAGCAATTGTTTTAGTGTATCTCTTTAGCTGTTGCTGCTGCTGCTTTCCAGCTGTTTGAATTCAGGACTTTATTTACACTTTCCAGGCAGGTGATCAACCGCTTGCATCACGCCTCTAGCCTCTTCCAATCCTTTTGTGCACATATGGGGACTTGAACTCAGGGCCTGGGCACTGTCCCTTAGATTCTCACTCCAGCTGAGCCACGGCTCCACTGACAGCTTTTTGCTGGTTAATGGAGGTAATACAAATATCAGGGACTTTCAGCCCTGGCTTAACTGCGATTCTCAGAGTAGAGCTGCTAGGGTTCTGGGCTCACCGGCCGCTCTCAGCTTATAGATAGATTGCCTTTCTGTGCTCATGCTCTCGGTTCTGTGGTGTTCACGCTCTCGAGTCTGTGTTCATGCTCTCTGTTCTGTGTTGGCGCTCACGGTTCTGTGTTGGTGCTCACGGTTCTGTGTTGGTGCTCACGGTTCTGTGTTGGTGCTCACGGTTCTGTGGTGTTGGTGCTCATGATTCTGTGTTGATGCTCACGGTTCTGTGGTGTTGGTGCTCATGATTCTGTGTTGATGCTCACGGTTCTGTGGTGTTGGTGCTCACGGTTCTGTGTTCATGCTCTTGGTTCTGTGTTCATGCTCACAGCTGTGTTCACGCTCTTGGTTCTGTGTTCACGCTCACAGTTCTGTGTTTGTGTTCATGGTTGTGTGTGTATGTTCATGCTCTCAGCTATGTAATCATGCTCACAGTTCTGTGGTGTTCACGCTTACAGTTCTGTATTCACACTCTCAGATGTGTGTTGGTGCTCACTGTTGTGTGTTGGTGCTCACGGTTGTGTGTTGGTGCTCACGGTTCTGTGTTGGTGCTCTCATCTCGGTTCTGTGTTGGTGCTCTCATCTCAGTTGTGTGTTGGTGCTCTCATCTCGGTTCTGTGTTGGTGCTCTCATCTCGGTTCTGTGTTGGTGCTCTCATCTCGGTTCTGTGTTGGTGCTCTCATCTCGGTTCTGTGGCTGCTCTCATCTCAGTTGTGTGTTGGTGCTCTCATCTTGGTTCTGTGTTGGTGCTCACG